CAGATGGAGTGTGAATCAGGTGATTTTCATGCTCCAAAATTGCTGGGAGGGTGCGGGCAGAGTTCTAGTGCCCCTGTGTGTGTGAGGTGCATGGGGACAGGGGGCAGCCTGGAGGCGGTGTATGGGGCTGCGGGTGGAACACAAGTGGGCCATGGGGCTGCTGCGATTCACTGAGGTGAATTAGGGCTTCTTGTTTGGCCCACTCATGATATGCGGCTACGTATCACTGTCTCAGAGCATCCACTGGTCATCTGATTCCCCTGCAGCACTGAGACCCAGTCCCTGACATTCCACGCCCCAGTGCTAGCTTGCGACCCCTACTTTGAAAACCACTGCACTATTGCTTATGTTCTTTGCTTCTCATTGGGTGCAGAGAGAATATTGGAGCCATTATTTGCCTCCAGGAATACAGGTTCTGCTATGAGTAGGTGGTGTGGCTGTTATCAACCATCCCCATATTTCCGTATGTCCTGTTAACTGCTGCCCTTGTTGCTTTTGTTGTGTCAGAGATGATGATGATGATGATTTTGGTAGAGGATTTTCAGCAAGTTTGTGAATGTATCCCCTAGTCTAATCTCTACAAAGGCATTTATGCTTATTACAGTGTTAGAGTCAGAAAGAAGAAGAACATTTCAATTTGAGAAAACTGTAAGTCCTTATTACCTTACTGCATACATTTAAAAGTAGCATTCTGCAGAAGGGAATGACCTTCCTATATCTCAGAGGATTTTTAGGGAGTAGTTGCTATAATTGATTTGACTTGAAGATCCCATCTCATTTCAATCATTTTTGAAGGAGTAAAGTGTTTGTCTATATGATATAAATGCTACACATTTCCTTGCTTTCCCTTTTATTGATCATACTTATTCAGATTACCTATTCCTGAAGTTATGCACGTGGAACGAATAGTTTAATTAAAACACTGGCCAAACCAAATGTTGTAAATACTGGGCAGCAACCATAAATGGGTCTAGTGCAGTGGTCCCCAAATTATGGGATACCACCTACTAAAAGGGTATGGAGGAATGTTTGAGGGAAGGCATGGCCAACCCCCTCAGGGCACAAGGGGGGGCACACTACCCAACTCTGCTCTGCCCCAGCTTTACTCTGGGCCCACACTGCAGTCCCAGCTGCAGAGTTGGCCCCAGCCTCAGCCAGCAGTTCCTGGATCAACTCTCAGCAGCCATTCTGCTCCTGGCTGTGGCTCCTGACTCCCACCACAGACCCACATGTAGCTGCATCTCCCAGGCCTGACCATAGCCACACTGCTGTCTGAGGGCCCAGCTGCATCACTGGCCCTGTTTCCAACCACAGACCCACTCCCAGCCACTGCTCCTGACCATAAGTCTTGGAGGGGCATGAACCAGGTAAGGGGGGAAATGAACAAAAATGTTTGGGGACCACTGGTTTAATGATTGGCTATTCATGCATCTCTATATTACAATTAATATTTAAAATGAAGTATATAAGTTAATAATTTGCTACATTTAAACCTGATTAATATTGTTGGGCTTGAGTAGTTTGTGAAACACTTGAATGTTCTGATTAAAAATAACATAGGAAATAATCTTCTCAGCTCAGAGCCTGTGTTGGCAGAATGCATTTCCACAGGACCAAGGAAGGAAGAAATGTTTCCCCAGCCACTGCTGCAGCCCATATCAATGGCATGTGGGGGTCACAGATGAAATAGAATTGACTCTGTTCTGGGTTAGTTAAGAGTGGACTCTAGTGTCATGTCGATACTTACTGGAAGATCTACACTCCAGAGGTCGATATTCTGGTGTTGAATTTAGTGGGTCTAGTATAGATCTCTAAATCAAATGCTGAGGGCAGCTCCCACTGGCATCCAGTACTCCTCCTTTTGCGAGGAGTAAGGGAAACTGACTGCAGCATTTGCTCCCTTCATCCCCCTGCAGTGTGGACACTGCCAAGGCTCAACGTAAAGTAAGCCAACTTCATCTACGCATAGTGCATAACTGGAGTTGCGTAACTTAAGATGATCTTCCTGATCTAGTGTAGACTAGGGATGTGAACGAGTAGTCAACTAAACAATTAACTGATAAGCCTAGGCTTATTGGTTAATCTAGTGGACTACTCACATTCCCTCTCCCTTGCTGCCTCTGTGTTAGAGGCAGCAATGGGGAGGGGGAAGCAGGAGCCGGTGCTGTGGGGAGCTGGCTTAAAACCCACATCCCACAGAGCAGCCTCCGTCCATGGGGGGGAGCCTGGGCCTGCTGCAGACAGAGGCTGCTTTGCAGGAGCAGCCCCTCTCCATGGGGGGGTCCCAGCTCCCTGCAGACAGGGGCTGCTGCCAGAGCAGCCTCTGTCCACGGCCAGCCTGGGCCTCCATGGACAGAGGCAGCCTCCCCTGCCACATCCCCCCTAGAAGCCTCTGTCCACAGGCACCGCCAGGGGCTGTTGCCACCCCATGCTGTTGCCTCTGTATCAGAGGCAGCAGCGTGGGGTGGCAATCAACCAGTCCACGAGGGGTGCTGGTTTTTTTAATTGGTCTCCTCACTGATCAGCTGCTGCCTGGCAGCAGTGCAGGGTGGCTGGGCGCTCCCCGGGAGTGGGACCGGAGAGCACTGGCTGCTGGCCCCACCCACGGGGACTATAGAATAGTCGACTAACTGCTAAGAATTCATGCGGTTAGTCGACTATTCTATCACCTTCTATATGCCATCCCTAGTGTGGACCAGGCCTAAATGATAATAGGGGTATACAGACAGAGAAGCATTTACCCCAATAACAAGCTTCTATAGTATATAACATTTTAAAATTCCTCATATTGTTTCAAAACATTTTGGAGCTTCCCAGCCATACACAATATATTACAGACACGGTATATTGACAATATCTAGACTTATGTAAGAACAGATATTCCATCTTACCTTGAAGTAGTGCAAGTACTTAAAATATATCACTAATGATTTAGATACGGTATGTATATTGGTTTGAATATCCTCTATGTACTCCAACAAATTGACTGATCAGATAAGGTTACAGTCAAATTTGCAGGAAATATATTTATGAATCAGAAATAAGAGAGGGAGTTTTATTACTTGCAAAACTGACAAACCTGGGACATTTTTGTGGAAGATAGCCGTTGGGGATAATAACTTAGTGACAAAACAGAAAAAGGGTAATAATTCATAAATTAGCAGGTCATTAATCTTGTCTTTATGAGGGAACAAGGTAATTTATTTCAGAGAAGGTTGAACCTGAGGTGCAATCTATAATCTTTTTGATAGCTTAGTAATGTGGAAAGGCTCATAATGTAATGCTATATTATTCATCCTTTGAACTTGAGCTATTTCTATGAAAGTATGGAGGGTACAGACAAGAGAAATATCAACTTTTTGGAACACAGTAGTAAAGCAAGAAGTTTTGCTGAACCATTTTCAGAGAGGTGAGAATTGAATAAGTGGGAAACATCATTTGTGAAAGTCATCAGCATTGTAAATGGAGATTGATGACACTTTTAAAATATAGTAGTTGCCATTAAAACAGCATTTGAAAATGATGTCACACATTGAGCTTGATTGCCCCCTTTCCACAAAATAATCCAGTGGGGAGTAGAATGGAGGAGGAAAACATAGTAAGAGTTATTTTCCAAGCTCTTTACCGAGGCAAGTGGCGTGAAATAAGTCCTTGTCTATCAAATTGCATCGTGGTATCTTCAAACCCTGTGTATCTCAGTTCTAACTGTCTAGAAGTTCTGTGCCTATGTACTACTCTCCACTCTATGTAAGTCTTTCCTTACTGGTAGTCCTTGGAAGTCCTACCCTTGAAAGTTCTCATAAAGGGGGGTTCTTCAGCATATTGGGGAACAACTGAGACACTATTGTCCCTGCAAGCTGCATTCACTTTTGCAAATTCTCTGAAGAGCTGTAGGGAGCTGATTCTGGGAATAGTCATACCTCTTTCTGCTCACAACCACTGTCTCACCTCACATATTTCCCCCCACTTTTCCACTGAGGACCCTGTGCAGAGTTGAGGGAAGGAGAGATGATTTGATGGAGGTGCCCTGGATCATAGAAAGAGAGATGTGCAGATTACAGGGGAAATGTTGCTATCAATAGTATCTGCAATATTATATTTAATTTCTACACTGCATTGTGTCTTGGCTGGGTTCAAGACTTAACTTGAGAAGTTTATGGAGGGGATGATATGATGAAACTGCCTACAATGGAATGTAGCTAATCTGCAACTGCTAGTAATAAATATCCCCAAGGGCCACTGATGGGACATTAGAAGAGGATGGCTCTGAGTTACTCCAGATAATTCTTTCTTAGGTGTCTGGTTGAAGAGTCTTGCCTATATACTCATGGTTGAACTGATCACCATATTTGGAATTGGGAAGGAATTTTCCTTGGGTCAGATTGGCAGAGATTCTGGACTGCTTTTGCTTTCTCCTTCAGCATGGGGAACAGTTCACTTGAAAGTTTAAACTACTGTAAATGGAAGATTCTCTGTAATATAAAGTCTTTAACCATGATTTGAAAACTTCAGTAACTCAGTCAAAGGAGATGGGTGAGCAAAGTTCTGTAGCCTATAATGTGCAGGAGATCTGATTAAATGATGATTAGATTAGATCATGATGATTTTTTTCGGCCTTTTATGAGTCCATGTCGGATAGCACTGCATGATAAATGTTAAGAATGTTTTTAAGTGGTAACCTCTATGTCTATGGTACCTGGGGGAAAAAAACATACACAATAAACTTTTCTGTGTGTAAGAAGTAAGTAGATCTTTTAATATATTTCTTCTATGTAGAACAAGAAATTATGCAAAATATTTTATTTGGGATCTTAAATATATTCATAAGTTTCTTTCTAGCAAAATAAACTTGCTTATGTATAAGTGAAAAGACTTTTGTGATTCCAGAATCACTTATGAGGGGTGCAAAGAATCTTCTTTTGCAAACTGCATATGCTTTTCCAGATGTTTATTTGTTAAATATTTTTGGAATGTTTTACATAATTGTATTTTTTTTTAAGATATAGATACGGCAGTTGAACTTCCTATAAAGTTTATTCCACAATATCCTGGTCGCTATCCCTGCCAGATTCTGCTGCAGTCTTCCTATGATATTCGGGTCTATCTGATTGAGTGTGTGGTGAATACGGACAGTGCAGAAGCTGAGCTTGAGTTTGTAACACCAGCCTATCAGGCAGTGATTCAGGACATACCAATAGTAAGTTTATTTTACAATTAGAAGGTTAAATCAAGAGTCAGAATTATTGGATTAATCCTTTTAAATTAAAATTAACGTCCATGTATCATAGAACGCACAAAAGCACAGAAATATGGATTTTGTCTTATTATCCAAAGTCTAATGTTATGCAAACATAAAACTTGTTTAGGGAAAAGAAATTGTTGTATACCCTCAGTAATAACTTTAGTCAGTCATTCCTAATGATTTTTCTTCTGTGACTGATACTTATTAACATACTCTACATTGCAAGTGGGAGGGAGGGAGTTGGTTTGAATAGTATGAATATTAAATGTAAGATTTCTGGCAATAGATGAAAAAGCTGAAATCTGAATTTAAGAGCTTGACAGCAGAGTAAAATACTGTACAAATCATACTAGTGTATTTTATTTCCAAAAAAGAAGTTGCTTAAAATATTTAAGAGAAATCTGAGGGAATAAATAACTTGTAATATAGATACGTAGAGTGTATTAAAAAATTTGAAGCATTTGTTACTAAGAGAAGGATACAATAATTAGCATAGTAGATTAGAATAGTCATTAATCTAATCTAATAATTTATCTCTAGGAATGATCAGCACCTGATGCTCCAAAAACTGATGCAAGAAATCCCCTAGTGCATAATTATAGGGCTCGTCTACACTGGCCCCTTTTCCGGAAGGGGCATGTTAATTTCAGCTATCGTAGTAGGGAAATCCGCGGGGGATTTAAATATCCCCCGCGGCATTTAAATAAAAATGTCCGCCGCTTTTTTCCGGCTTTTAGAAAAGCCGGAAAAGAGCGTCTACACTGGCCCCGATCCTCCGGAAAAAGCGCCCTTTTCCGGCCAGTGTAGATGCTCTTTTCCGGCTTTTCTAAAAGCCGGAAAAAAGCGGCGGACATTTTTATTTAAATGCCGTGGGGGATTTAAATTTCCCTACTATGATAGCTGAAATTAACATGCCCCTTCCGGAAAAGGGGCCAGTGTAGACGTAGCCATAGTGTAAGATGACAGCCCAAAAAAGATAGATGAGAGACTGACTGAACTGTAGGGTTGTATAGCTTCTTCAGAGAAGACATTTTCAAGGCCATTTTTAGGCCATCATCTGACTGTTTCAGATTAAAAGATAGAGAGAAAAGGATGGGGTGTAAAACACCATGAGGATAATGCATATGCACAAAGGCAACCTAAATTTTGGCATTTCCTAACATTTTAGCATTTGGCATTTCCTAACATTTAGAGCTTGACCATAATAATGCTCCTTTAATGTAGCTGGTTTATTAAATTTCCTGGTTGTTTTAAAAAGTAAAATCAAACTGTTATTTGCAACTACATATTGCAACAGTTTTTTCTGTTCTATGTGTGTTCTATATATGTGGAAATTCTGCAGTATCTTAGCCATAATAATGTGATTACTGCAGATAAATGCTGACCTTTAAAACAGTTACACTGTACTGTACTTCCTTGTGTGGGCAGCTCCTTCTTCAGCACAACCTTTAGCTATGGAAGAATTCCAAAGGTGCTACTGTTTCTCTTCTCTAGATGACAGATCTTTTCCTGCTTGAGGCCAAAGAGAGACGTTAACGCCACCAACTGGTATCTGTGTCTGTACTGACAGGAGAGTCCAAGGCCATTCTTCGTGGGTGACAAAAGAAGTAGATCTGTCAGCCATAGGAAGAATAATGGAGCAAAATTATAATTTTTCTTTGATACTTTGGGTCTCTGCAGCAGGATAGTCTTTCTACTGAATAATTTTAGTGGGCAACAGAGTCAGTATCTGAGTACATATGGCTAGATTGAGCCTGTCATTTATAAGTACAATCAAACTTCTTTTATGTTATGAGTACATGATACATTAATTTTTGGATCTAACCAAGAATATTTAACCATAAAAGAATTTCTATAAGTATATACAGTGTTAGCATTATTGAACATTTGGTTGAATAAATTTCATCATTTAAAAATACAATATTTATTTCCCTAAAACCTGCTCTTAGCTGGCATTTTTTAAAATATAAAGATTGTGAGCTGATTTGGTGTTCATTCTAAGAATTAGTGGTTAGAAATGTAAATGTAGTTGCATTTACAAATAAATGTATGTGGTAGCTTTAAATGTACCATTTGGATGACATCTCTTTCTTTTATTTTTCAGAATAATATGTCTAATCAGGACTGGAAACTTCAAGCCTTCCTAAAGGGACATTATTTTTATGGCCCTCCTCTTATATATGTGTGCCCAGGTGAAACAACACAGTATCCTCTCATGTTTAAGCCCATTGCTGAGTGTGTAACTGTGGTAAGAGAAGTGATTTCCATCATTTATAAGAAGTGCTGCTCTGCATAAAACTTACACCTGCACTCCAATTCAGCAAACCCCTTAAGCAAGTGATTAACATTAACCATGTGCTTTAATGGTTTTCTGAATCAGGATTATTCAGGATAAGACTTTTTCCTGGGGATGTACATGAAAGGAATGGCCTTCAGTGGAGCTTGGGCTAATATTATGTGTGGCCAATTTCTCTTTTCTCTTGGTCCCGCACCTCCTTCTCTGCCCACACAAATTTAATAAAATAAATAGATATTCTATACAAATTGAAAACACTCTTAATTACAAATACATATAGTGCTTCCCATCCTTAATGTAAATACATGTTATTTAATTTCTTTAATCTGTAAATTCAGTGAATGCCAATTTTAAGGTACTTTAAAAACACCAACTATCCCTCATTGCAAATATATGCTATGGAGATTCTACAGGAATAGATGTTATACAAGTTCACTAATTAGTTTCTATTGTTAATTAAGTCATTGGTCCCACTGGGGTGGATTCTCAGGCACTCTCTCCTTATGGTAGTTGTCATTCTGGATATTATGAAATACATACCAGGTTAATGTTTGTTTTATCTTTTAATGGC